TAAATGGAGGAATGGTTCTAAGGAGATCGAAAAGAGAAGGCCAGATAAAGGATCACCTTGTCTGATACCTCTTTGGAAGGGAAAAGGAGCTGACAAATACTTCCCTATTCTCAGTAAAGATTGGTTATTGTTGTAGAGGGTTTTGATTGCTGATAAAAACAATGAGGGAAGGAGAGTTTCTGAAGCGTATGAAAGAGATAATCATGTGAAACACGGTCAAAAGCCTTTTCTTGATCTACAGAAATAATACCTAGAGGACATTTATACTTATTGGAGTACCAGATTACGTCGCGAATTAGGTGGAGATTGTTGTGAATATTGCGATTAGGGATGCAGTATGTTTGGTCAGGTGGATAATGGTGGTCAAGACACGTTTCAATCGAGTGGTTAGAACGTTTGCGAAAATTTTATAATCTGTATTAAGGAGTGTAATGGGGCGCCAGTTTTTAATACCCAGTTTATCACCACCCTTTGGAACTAAAGTGATCACTCCGCGTCTCAAGGAAAGTGGGAGTTCCTGAGATTGGAGAGCGGACAAAAATATTTCATACAAGGGTTTTCTCAAGTATGGCCAGAAAAAGGTGTAAAATTAAAGGACATTTGTACTTATTGGAGTACCAGATTACGTCACGAATTAGGTGGAGATTGTTGCGAATATTGCGATTAGGGATGCAGTATGTTTGGTCAGGGTGGATAATGGTGGTCAAGACACGTTTCAATCGAGTGGTTAGAACTTTTGCGAAAATTTTATAATCTGTATTCAGGAGTGTAATGGGCGCCAGTTTTTAATATTCAGTTAATCACCACCCTTTGGAACTAAGGTGATCACTCCGCAAGGTCAGGAGAGGTCACAAGGTCACAAGTTTTCAAGTATCTTATGTCATATTCGAGGGAAGAGAGGGCGTTTGAGTAGTTGGCTTTCTTTGTGGTTGAGAACAAACCAACAGGGTTGGTTGGTTCTATGGAGAACATTTTAATTTTGGCTTTTGCTATTTCCTACCAATCGCCGGGGGAGTTGTAGTGAGTTCGTTCAGAAAGGATGGTATTCCATGATTAGGAAAATTTTCAGTGTATTGTTCTGAAGGGTGGCGTTTGGCGATCTCCAACCCCCGTTTAGTCAACTTAGCCGAAATAATTTTCTAATCATTCTCCATCGCAATAAATTAAATTATATTGCTTTGTCGTCGACACAGACAAATTTCTTTCACTGTGTTCCAATTGAGTCTCAAAATATCCACCTTCCACCCATTTTGTAGACCCGACTGCCAGGATTTCCGATATCTGATTGCCCTAACTGACTTTATATATCTCCGTCATCCATTCCAATTGAAACAAGGTTGCCATCAGTATTTCCCGGCATACTGGCAAAATCACCACTTGCCAAGGACGCTATTGAAAAGTTTTCTTTTCTACGCTGACTGTCACGCAGGCTGCTTACTTTAACTTCGACTTCGTTTCCCATGAGGGAATTTTTTTTCCACCGCGTTTCGACCTGATCGACATCGCCACCTATTTATTGAACCTGATCGGAAATTTTTCTGATCATTAAAATCACCCTTTTGAAAATTCCTTTGGGATTCTCATTAAAAAAACCTATTTAAAAAATTGCCATAGACATCCCTTGCGATTTTCATGGGATTCGACTTGGCTCTCATGCCTGTGAACTTTCCACACATTGTCTAAATGGAATGATTCCATGTAATTTCTCTAGGGATAGGTGAAATGAAGGATAATTAATACAATAAACTAGATATACGGTGGTGCGTAATTTCTGTTACCATACACCTTACGTTAGGTTAAGATGGATCTAGAGTTAGTGTTAGATAGTAGACAGCCATGTCAAGTTTGCTCACTATGCAATATGGAGAATGTGTCACGTGTTCATAGTGGTTCAATTTAATATGTAGTTTTTCAGATGGACATATTGACCCACATTGAGGCTTTATTAATCGAAATCCAAGTGCTGGAGCTCAAGCTCATCCACGACCAAAGACTTTGCAGGATAGGTTAGAGAGCATTGACAAATGAACCTGTGCTTGTTACTGCGTGAAACAGATTGCAAGAAAAGAAATAATCGTTCGTCACCTTCATACTTTTATTCGTCCTAGAATAGTTTTAAAAAACTTACCGATTTCGTAACTTTTTCGGATAGTAGTGAAAGTTAGCTTTTCCTGCATGGAGATGATGTTGAAACTATATGAAGCTACTTTTTTCCAGTTTGCGATGATTAGAAGAATTTTCAGTATGGTGGACTATAGTGGTTGTGTTAATTTGTTACTCTTTCGGGAAGGTGTGGTAGTTGACTTCTTTTGCATGGAGAAGACGCCTAATCTCCATGAATTTTTTATTGGCAGTCTGCGATGTTTAGGAAACATTACAGTATTGTGCACTAAAGGGATGGCAGCGATTTTGAAACTCTTCTGAATAGTCAATCATGAATTCCCTTTCTCTTCTGAGTTTATTCTCTCCCCTCTGGTCCTGCTGATGCAAAATTGTGAAATTAGCAAATAAGCAAAGAAATTATTAGGGAGCACTGAGAAAATAAACTGAAATGAAAAAAATTATACTAAAAAAGGATTTAGTTCAGTTTTAGCTTAGAACTGGTTCAAATTTCTGTCTTTTCATCATGATCTTTGCATATTTTCCTCCCAATCTTCTTCTCACCTGTCTTCTGGCAGGAAACTTTGTGTGTTCCTTAACAAAATGTTCCTTATACTGGTTCACTCTGAACCTTTGCACGGAATACTATATGAGACATGCCATGCAAAATGACAAAAATTAAATTCCCTTTTTCAGAGATAATTGAGTTGGCATGTGGCTTGGTGTTCAGGGAAATCTAGAAGCCAATTTGACGCCCTGATTTGAAAATAAATTGAACTCTTTGTCTGCATTTGACTTTTAGTCACTGTTTAAAATGCAGTTTCTGACTTCATTTTGTACTTTTCAGAAAAAGTATAACCCTAAAAGTGAACAAGTTTTCCATAAGATCTACAAGTCTCCAAGAGGCAGATGAACACACTGGAATATGGAGAAAATATCAATCAGTTGATATCATTATCAATTCTTTTGAGCTGTTTCCATGCCATTTGAACATGATGCTCGCTTAGGATGAGAAAAAATTTAATTCTACACCACTTGAGTGTAATTCAGTCCAACAGATCGTTCTTCCCTTCTTCCTTGGGTCCTGAAATGTTGAACTCCAGTAGAACCTTTTTCCAGAGGAGTTGAAGTCATTGTTGGGAAATACTGGCAAAGAAACAGGCAAGCATCTGCATCATATGCTCTTTTAACCTTTCGCTTTTGCACTAAAGCCTGCAGAATCAAAAGTCACCTTGTAAAAGTACGTTCGCTTTTTAGGTTCTACGGGAGACAAATCAGTTAAGTTTAAGCAATGATTCAAAATGTAAAGAAATTCCTAGAAGAACTTTGGTCATCATGTAAGCCAACTATACTTTTAAAGAAAGAGGCAGGCAGTTTAAAGGTTATCTACACCTTAAGCAGCAGATATGATGCCTATTTGATCACATGAAGAACAACAAACAAATCATATTGATTTGTTTGTTGTTCTTCATATATTTAGATCCTAAAAAAATTATGTGGCAATGATGGCAATTTATCTTCAGGACTCTCAAAGACTGCTTGAGGAGCCATAGTTTAAAAGTACTTCAGGTCCTTGGAACCTCGCCTCTTATTTTCACTCATTTGAAACAGTATAAGAAAAAAAAAGTGCACGGAACATTATTGGCAAAAAAATCGATGATGCATCATCACGATGATTATTGATGACATCATAGATAGTAGGCCTCCTACAAGGGCGATCTTCCTGGAAGTTGAAGTTCGATGAGCTACCTCTAAATATCATCTGATTGATTTGAAATTTGCACGCCCCATTCCTTGGGGTATGTTCAAGAATGGCAGGGTAATACTTGACCCCTATGCGATGATTGCATTAAAATGGAAAAACTCTGCTTGTTGGAACGATCGCATTAAAACCGTAGTAAGAGAGAGTTTCTATATACATGGCAAACCAGCAGGTAAAATTCGTCTTTTATCTCTTCGCGGTTGCACATTGTGTAGTCTGTCATGGTAATCCATCCTACCTTCTTGTTCTCTCAGTCCAAACATCCCTCCTCGAAAATTGCTAATGATCATCGTTGGGTTGCAATATATCCAAATATTTTTTTATTTGTTGTTGCTTGGAATGATTTTAAAACTTCTGTCGGAGACTCATCTATCGCGGAAGTGCAGAACTTCACCAAGAGAATCAATGTCGCATGCCCGTTGTCCGAACGTGCAGAAAAAAGCCACGATTGCATGGAAAATCTAGGGCATACCACACTTCACCAAAGCCATATGAGCACAATAATCATATATATATATATTATTATATAGCATATGATAATATGTTTCCTATCCAGCAAGTGATGTCTAGTTCACACCACCCTAGTTGCCATGTGTTCGCCGATTTTGCAAGTATGGTGTCTGGCATGAAGATTAACCCTTTGAGCCCTGAGTTCCTGAGCAATTTTGAGCCTTCTGCCTGAGCTCCTGGGCCAAAATTTGCTAATAATGGGTATACAATGTTTGTGCAAATATCATAGTTGTAATAAAAGAGATTAGATTGATGCTTTGCATGCAAATATCAGGATGACGTACCTTGGTGTTGTTCCTGGTGTCGATTTCGTATCTCTTTCGGATAGTTGTGAAAAGTATCTTTTCCTGAATGATGCCGAAGATTCATATTTTTGGCAGTCTACGATGTTTAGGAAATTTTACAGTATGGTGGACTGAATGGCTGGCAGGTGGTGATTTGTAAACTCCTTCGGGAAGTTGTGGAAATTACTTTTCCTGCATTGAGATGACGCCGAAGTTATATGAATTTCATATTGGCAGTCTGCGATGATAAGAAGAATTTTCAATATGGTGGACCATAGCGGTTGCTGGCGTCGACTTCGTAACTCTTTCGGGTTTTCAAAAGGACTTTAATGTCATAGCAAATAGATCAACAAACACACCATAGTAAGAATGCCATATCACAGACAATGAAAACGAGACACACTTGGAAGAGTCTCCGGCACGTTCAGGATAAAAAAATGAAATATCAACAATTTGCACCACTGAAAAGTAATGGGCCCGCTGAGAAACCTATCTTTATGTAATTCATCACATTCTTAAAATGTTATCATCGGGAAGGATTTTGGCACAGAATGCTGGGATTTCAAATGGACTTTCGGATAGTTGTGAAAGGTGTTATTTCCAGCATGGAGTTGACGACGAGGCTTCATGAACTTAGTTTTGGCAGTCTGCGATGCGAAGAAACTTTTCAGTATTGTGCACTCAAGTGGTTGCTGGTGTCGATTTCATTACTCTTTCGTTTTCTTCATAGTCGTTTTCTGCTCTGAGAGGACTATGAAGTTACAGTTGAACTCGGTTATGACGTCATTAAAGGGACTTGTAATCGAGGTTCGTTATAACCGAGGTCGCCTTTATTGGCACTCCGTTTTCCTGTTTTCAAAATTGATGCTATATAACGTTACAACTCCAGTTTACATTATTCATATTACACTAGCTTCAGATTCAGCTTCATCACTAATTGTGATGTTTGCACTTCTTTGGACCTTGAAGCACTATGTTTTAGCAAGGCTTCGTCGATGTCATAGAGAATTTCTTGTAATCACGGATGAAGCTGTCACGATTTTCCCAAATTGTGGAAACAGATGACCGCGATGTTCGCGAGCGACGTTAGCTTCACTTCGAGCTCCTTCTATTAAACTAATCATGCACACTTTCCTTTCAATTTTGAAGGCTTGCCTCTTTCGTTTTCCATTGGCCATGTTGTCAACGAGAAATGCAAATGGCGACTGAAGATAAGGTGATCTTAGTTACTGGGGATTATCCCTCCCTAACATTGCTCCAGCCACACCCACATTACTCTCAAGGAATGCCGAATCCAGGAAATATAAAGACTTTCAATAGATTCGTTATAACCGAATTCGACTGTATATATATTTTATTATCGCAGTCAGCATTGATTAGGAATATTTTCATTATGGTGCACTAAAACGGTGGCGGTTTGCGATTTTGAGACTCTTTCGAATACTTGTGTAAGGATACTTTTCCTGAATGGATATGACTTCGTAGCGCTGTGAAGTATGTTTTGGCAGTCTACGATGCTTAGGAGAATTTTCAATCTGGTTGACGGAAGTGGTCACTAGTGTCGATTTCGGATCTCTTTCGGATAGTTGTGAAAGGTGTCTTTTCCAGCATGGAGGTGACGCCGAAGCTTCACGAAATTCGTTTCGACAGTCTGATATGTTTAGGAAACTTTTCAATGTGGTGCAATGAAGAGGTTGGGGTTAGAGATTTTGAAACACTTTCGAAATATGTGAATGGAGACTTTTTCTGCCTTGAGACAACTATGAAGTTGTATGAATTTCATGTTGGCAGTCTACGATGATTTGGAAAATTTTCAGTATGCTGGACTAAAGCGTATGATGGTGTCGATTTCATAACTCTTTCGGGAGGGTGCGGAAAGTGACTTTTCTTGCATGGAGATGACACCGAAACTACATGAAATTAGTTTTGGCAGTTTCAAAATCAAGCGAGTACAAGAACAGTCCATTTTCGAGTATAACCTTTCGCTTTTGCACTGAAGCCTGCTGAATCAAAAGTCAGTTGTAAAAGTAAGGTACTTTTACAACTGACTTTTGATGGCTTTTTGGGATCTAGGGGAGACAAATCAGTTTAGTAACAATGATTCAAAATGTAAAGAAATTCCTAGAATAACTGTGTATCATAATGTATCATAACATGTGGTTATCATGTACTACTTTTAAAGAAGGAGGCAGGCAGTTTAAAGATTATCTACACCTTAAGCAACAGATATGATGCCTATTTGAGCAGATGTTGTCCATATATTTAGAGAGACTCTCAGAGACTGTTCCAGGAGCCGTATTTTAAAAGTACTTCAGGTCCTCTTCTCTTATTTTCACTCATTTTGTAACAG